CTCCTTCACCTTGTTACAACACTGACCATGTGCTATCTCTTCTCGCCCTGACTTCTGTTTTGTGCTTCTTGAGGGGAGGAACCAGTGCTTTACCTTGGTGGCCTCGCCCTATGCTTATTGTAGAATGGTTTGTATAGGGAGTCAACAAAAAAAGGTGGAAGGAGGTGGTAAGTGACTCAATTTGACTGAGGATGGACTGTGCTGAAAGGAATGCTGGCGCCAGGCCAGGTAGTTCAGACTCACTTTCTGGTTGGTTCTGTACATCAGTGCTATGGCAGGGAGGGAGGCCTGAGAGTGCACCTTGCTCATTTGGTAGATACGCAGGCTCTTTTGAAAAATATGTGTGGTGTTTTAAAAGTAAAAACATGGTCTACGGCCATGCTACCCTGACTGAACAAGCCCGATCCTGTCTGATCTTGGAAGCTAAGCAGGGTCAGGCTTGGTTAGTACTTGGATGAGAGACCCTTAGGAAGACCGGGTGCTGTAGGTGTAAAAAATAAAATAAAGTACAGGATTGTAAACTGACAAGGTCCTTGCAATCTGTGAGGTCAGCCAAGGGTTGCCGTGCCTTAAAAAAAAAAAAAAAAAGAAAAAACATAATCACATGGAAAATTTGGAAAACAAATCATCTATATTTCTACCAGTCTTTTGTAACCATTGTTATTTTGGTGTGTTTTCCTGCCAGTCTCTTTTCATATGAGTACTTTTGACAAAATATATGCATATATCAAAACCTTTTCTATAATGCTGCCCGGTGTTCATAGCTGTGATTTTTAATTTTAATGGCTGTTTAGGCCACCAAAACATACTTGTGCTCACTGTCCTTGGATATTTAAGTAGTTTCCTGCTTTTTCTCCTATTGTAAATGTTGGTGCAATGAATATCTTTGCAGATAGAGAGTTTTACATGTTTTTGTCATATTTTCTTAGGGTGGATTCTCAGGTTCTGGCTCAGAGAGTACTAAGGTACACTGTGGTTTTGTGCACTTGGGACCTAGCCAACCTGTCCAGGGATAATTGTCCGTCCTTGTTCTATGACACACAGCCTCCAAAACAAATAGGACTTTACAGAGGCTCCAAAGTATGGGTGACTCTGTGCCTCTCAGAAAGAATGGCTGAGTTTTTTTTAACCCATGAGATATTTAATGTGTTTATTCGGAACCTGAAATAAACCCCACACTGGGAGCTTGGGTGGAATATAGGAAAGGAAAGCAAGGAAAAGTCACAGAGAGCTCGAGCACAGCCAGGCCCTGTGAGATGCATGGAAAAAGATTGTCAAACCAGTGAAAACAGTTTTTTAAAGCTTCTCTTGGCAGACCTCCAGCCTAACTCTGTGTCTTTTCTCTTGGTTCCCTCACACCCAAGTGACACAGAAGTGTTTCCCTGCCACAGAGCTGTGGCAGGCCTTGCTGGGCCTTCGCTCGCCTTCCTCCCCTCCTCTTGGAACTTTGCCTTCCTCGAAGCCCTGCCTGGACCTCTCCTCTGCTCCCCTCCTGCTTTCACCCTGCACTGGGCTCTTGTTCTGTGTGCATGTCTCAGTTAACAGAGCGTGGACTCCAGAAGGGCAAGAGCTGTGCCCTGTTCACCTTGGTGTGTCCCTCACACTGTTTGTGACTGTTTACTGAATGAGAAGAACTGAGTTTAGTAGCTTTTTATTCGTCATAAATTCAGTAAAAGGCTCTAGCCTGTCTGAGGCCTTTGGTACAGGGCCGAGGCGGGGTGTTAGATTACTTCTTTGTAGGTGAAACTTAGCTCTCACCATCCTTTTAAATAACTACTTGACCCACTTATGAGTCAGTTGATGCTTGGTGAGTGGGAAAGAGGATTGCTACTGTTGACTTTTTATTTGTGTCTGGGAGTGAAAGCTGAGGGTCTTCATTCAGGCCAGTCAGTGTAGTCCTTAGCTGCAAGACTCTCTGCATGTGTCCTACCAAGGGTGTTCCCCAGGAAGGACTTTTCTGAGGCCCAGAAATAAAGAAATGAGCAGAGCAGTTGTCCTGGTCACTCATGGTGCTCTTGTGAGTGTCCTTCCAGAGTGGAGTTCATTTATTCAACCACATTCTGATGGAGCACATTCCATTTGTCAGGCACTGTACCAGGCTTTAGAAGTGCACTATTGAACAAGACCTGGGCTGTGCCCTCTCAGGTTTATTACTCATGTCTTTGGAGACAGGCGTGGATTCAGAGTCCATCTCAGCCAGACCCTGAGATCTTGGATGAGCTGCTTCCCCTCCCCAGCCTGGGGCTTCTCCAGCTGCAAACTACAAAATACTCCTCCCTCACAGGGTGATTGTGAGGAGGAGGGTTGGAGCTTTTCACAGCCAGGGAGCCTCAGCTGAACTATAAGACACAGAAACTGATTGGAGTGACTGTTTTCTCCATTCTCTCAAGGATGGAATATAACCAGAACAGTTCTAGATGCACAGGAGAGAAGTCAAGTCTTTGTAGACAGTGGATGCCTTAGGGCAGTGGGACTTAATTCTCTCAAGGAACCAGGTTGATAAAGGCTGGTAGAACCTTCATTTCACATGGCTTGACACAGTGGCTAGTTCTGGGGTGACTGGAATTTCACAGTAGCTTCCTGGTGTGGTAATCCTGACACACAGTAGACACTCAGTAAATATCAGCTCCCTTCCTCAGTCCTTCCTCCTCCCTCTCTCTCTCTCTCCCCAGGCCTCAGCTTCTCTTAAAGCTACCCACATCTTTCAAAAAGAGTTCAGGTCTCAGATGTGAAGTATCTATGTCTCCCAGAGTGCTCCAGGTTCCTCTTTCCAGGCAAGGTGCTTCTGGACTCTGAAGCTGCTGCTGTGATGCAGGTGCCCCTTTCTCTATGCCCTAGCAGTGCCTCCTAGAGAAAGCAGAGGAAGGCCTATAGCATGCAAAATCTCTTCTTAGATATTACCTGAGCTTCTGCTCTGCGGAAGCCCTTCACCAAGCACTAGGAAGCCAGAGTATGAACTAGACACACAGAAGCACCTGGCTGCAGAGTTTGCAGCCTGCTAGTGGAGATAGGGCTTTTTATGATTAGCCTAGTGTCTTTAAGATTTTAGAAAAAGGAGGAGGGATCAGTGTTGACAGGATAATCAGCTCCCTGCCCCCTGGAATCCTCTTTTGGCTGACCTTGGTAAAGGAAATGACATCTCTTCATGGGACTGGAGGTTGCCTGTTAAACATGTTCCCCTCAGCCAGTTGTATATGCCAGCATCTGAAACTGCTACCAGAGCTGCCCCTCTGTCAACTATCCTGTAGCGAGTCAGACTTGAGTAACCAGTTCCTCGGATGATAGATTTGATTTCAGTGACTTCACCTCCTCGCTCCACTGTGGCTTCGTGTCTGCTGAGTCTGAAAGGGGAACAGATACTGAATTTTTCTTGCAGGAAGCCAGCCCACTAATTCTGGGAGAAATCTGCTAGTCGTTTAGCCAAAAAACAACCTCAAGGCCAGTTTCTCCATCTTCCTGTGGTCTTCCAAACCTCACCTTGTCACTTTGTCCAAGTTGCAGGAGCCAGCAGACAGGGATAGTGCCCTGCAAAAAGGATATAGCCACACTGCTTCTTTGCAGAAGAGATAGGGTGGAAGGTACAGAGAGTGAGGCCCAACCAGAGACAAGAAGTGAGTTGGGGCCATGTGCCCAGCTCTGGGGTAGGCCCTGGGGCTGGTCAGACACAGTCTTGCCCTCTAGGAACTGCTGGCATAGGTGGGAATATGAGAGTTGGTATGTGTGAAAAAGTTAGAGAACACGCGCAGAGAACATGTTAGAGAACGTGTTTAGAATAGGAAGTTAGAGAACATGTTTAGAATAGGAAGCCAGCTCCTATCTTGAGACCTAGGACAAGTACTGGACCATAGTGAGTGTCTGTTTCCACATAGAAAAATTGAGGGTGTTTTCTGGGGGTTTATCTAATATTAATATTGTATTTAAGCATTCAGCCTATGGGGCCTTCCTGGTGGAGGTGAAGCTGGACTGCAAGGACAGGAGCATCTGGATGAGTAGTGATGGATGGGTGGTGAGGTGTGCAGACAGGGGAGCCTAGTTGAGGCCTGTAACAGGGGCCCTGGCAGAGTCCAGTGGCAATCTGCCTACCCTTCACAGCTGTTTCTCCCAGAGCCCAGGCATTGCTGTTGAGCTGGACCTGAGCCCCATACCTAGTATGTGTGGGGAGGGTGGGTATATAGGAGCTTTGCTGGGTGAGGGGCGGGATGAAGACAGACTGACCTCAGGCCAGCAGGGTAAAGAAGATGATAGAGAGCCCTGCGCAGACCCTGGGCCAGAAGGGCTGGCCTCAGCAGAGATCAGATGGGAGAGGGAAGATTAAAAATTTAGGGAAAGGCTGTGTTCTGAGGACATTTTTGCATTTTCCCAAAAGAATCCAGATAAAACCAACCAAAAACATTTTCTCGGCTTTTTATCTAAGCCCTTCATAGCTCTCTATTCCTAGCAAGTCTGCCTGATTTAATCAAATCAGCACTGACAGCCAGCAGCATGTTTTTGTTCCAGAACCTTGAGCTGCCCTTTAAAAAACAGTAGGAATAAAGGCTTTCTGGAAAATAATATGTAAAGCAGTACACGAGGTTATAAAGTGAAAAGTCTCTATCCATACCATCCCATTGACCACCCCCACCCTGCACCCCTGCCAAAAAACCCCACTCCCTATAGGTAAATACTATGAACTGTTGTGAATCTATAATGGACATAAACAAGAAAACATGTAGTGGCAAGTCCCAGGCCTCAGAGTGTAAAGCTTGCTTTGCATCTCTTCTGGGAAGTCATCTGGACCAAACCCCCCATACCCTTTTTCCAGAAAGGGAAAAGAGATTGAAGCTCTGGTGTGGCGGGGGTGGGGCACAAGAGCCTTCAGGAGAGGCTCTTCAGGGCGGGCCATCATCGGCCTCACTTTAACCAGGTGTCCCTGGGATTGCCTGCTGGCCCTGAGATGGTGCTCTCTGTCTCACCAAGGTTCTCTCTTCTCAGCATCTAATGGTTCTTTTTAACCTTCTCAGGATCCTTCTGTTACCCAGCTGACCAATGCCCCACAAGGTGGCCTGGCTGAATTCAACCCTTTCTCAGAGGTTGGTGAGCATGTCCTCTTTCGGAGACCCCAGGTCCTCTGGGTGGTTCTGGGGTCCCTGGGGCAAGGACCCTTGACAGAGACAGAATGCTCTGAGAAGCGGCAGTCCTCAAAGAGACAGTCTTAACGTGAACTTGCGTGGTGGGAGTAGGATGAGGAAGTCACCAGACCTCCACTTGGTGTCCATGATCTGGGACCCTCCCTGAAGGGAGTAGGGCAGTACCAGGAGCTCTGAATCCAAAAAGGCCAGAGGTACTGGGTTAGGCATCACATTTCCCAGAGCTTGAGGCTCGTTGGCTGAGAAGCTGCAGAGGGAGGCACAGAGGGAGTACCCGTCACAGGCAGGGGCCCATCACTCATCCTGCTGTGGGTTTGCTTCCACATGACCAGCTATTGGAGTCCACTCACCTCATTCCTTTGATCTGTCCCACGTAGACAAATGCAGCGACAACGGTTCCTGTCACCCAGCTCCCTGGGCCTTCTCAGCCAGCAGTTCTCCAGCCCTCAGTGGAACCAACCCAGCCAGCCCCCCAGGTACTGTTGACAAAGATCCCTTTTGCCTCTCCTTTCCAGAAAGGGAAGCGCCCAGACCAGTAGCTGTGTCCTGAGATTGGGGAGTGGGCATAGGGCCTTAATTCCTGGATCCTTTTCAAGGGCCTTCTTGATCATCTCTTTAGAGTTGGTCACTTGCACGTGAAGGGTCTGCTCACCTATACCCTCACCGCTACCCCGCTGCTAGCACCAAAGAATAAGCCCTGCACACCAAGCTGGGCTCTTAGGTGTCTTCAAACAGAACTTTGCCCCTGTCGTGGCATTCCAGATCCTCCTGGGGCCTTTGGTTTTTTCTCTTACTCAGGGCCCAGAATCTATCTTTTTTTAAACCTAATTTATTCTTGCTTCCTTCCTATTTTCCTTTGTCCCTTCACCAAATACTGTGAATCTTGTCTGCTTGGTGCCTGACTTTCAACCCCCAGCCCCACTGCCCCGCCCCATGCTCCTCGCTGCCCCTGGTGAGCGTGACCCACAGTGGAGTTGTATGTTGCAGCTCCTGCTTAGACAGGCCAGCAAGTTTCTACCTACCAGATTCCTGGCAGTGAGCGAGCTCTCAGAGAGGCAGATGCTACTAGGAGGAGATAGTATTCTCAGAGACAGCTACATGCAAAAGCTTCCAAAGGTAGGCAAAGTGTAGATGAGCGAGAGTGAGGGCAAGGCATCTGGAGCCTGCCCAGGCTGGGCTTTGGACTCTAGTGGGCCCCAGGCTACTACTCCCTTTGTCTGGCTGGACTTAGTCTGAATGTGCTGCCCCTGCCTGGGGTCCTGGGATCCTGGGTTCCACCCATGGCCCTGAAATCCTAATAAGGCAAGGCTCAGAGGCAGAGGAGACTTTCTTGTTCAGCTAGGTGGTGGGTTGTAGGGACCTGGGTCCTGCTCAACTGAAGTCAGACTTGAGGAGAAGTGACTAAGACCTACAGCATGGTTAATTCTGGTCTTGCTTCTACCCCTAGTACCTGAAACTTACCTCCTAAAGGCAGCCTTAGCTCTTTGGAGAACTCTTATTGAAGAGAAAGAGAGGTGGGGGCCGGGGGGCGGGGGGAGTTGGGTAGAGAGCACGCACACACATATATATGGACATGTATGCCTGGCTCGTCACCCTGTAAGATGACCACTTTGATCTTTGCTTCCTAAAAAGGACTGCAGACTTGAGGAAGAACTGGGCCCCAACTGTAGTACCCTGTAGGAGCAGGCCATGGGCTGGAACTCTGGGCCCAACTTGGCTCAGCCTCACATAGAGTCGTCTAGCTGCCTCACTCAGAGGCCCTGCTCTGCCTGGAGAGGGAATAAAGCTTGGACTCTGACACTATGAAAGCCAGGCAGAGCAGGGCCAACCTTAAGGGGCTATCCTGGGGTGTAACCAGTCACAGTTCAGGTGTATCTCAAGGGGCAGCTCCTGGGAGTGGAGCACGGGGAGGTACTTAAATATAGATCCCTCAGGCTCCAGGTACACAGTCTGCCCTCAAGTGCCTCCCCTCCCCACTCACTGCTAGCAGGTTTGCACCGTTTCCCTTTACACACTCCTCCTCCAGGCTCTTGAAACAAGGCTTTGGTCTCTGGGTTCCTGGCTGTAGGGCAGTCTCTTGCGAGGCCTTTTTCCCTTTGCTATCACCCCAGAGGTCACTATAACTGAACTTGCCTAGACTCCAATATGGGGGATGGTTCTCCTATCTCAAGCTTCACAGTGAAGGGGAGAGAAGAGCCCTGGTAATGGCAGAGGGGCCAGAGGTGGTTTAGGGGCAGTAGGGGACAGGACTCTGTGGCCTTTCTATAGTGGTCTCAGGTACCCAAGACACTGTGGGGCTGGGACTACCTCTGGGACTCCCAGTTGGCTTTCCCTGCGTAGGGCATGGCCCCTCTGAATTCCTGTTCTGGCCGACACGGTCCCTCTGTCTCGTGTCTGGCTGACTCCCATTTCCCCTTTTTGCCCCAGGCTGTGGCCTCTGCAGCCCAGGCAAGCCTGCTACGGCAGCAGGAAGAACTGGACAGGAAAGCAGCTGAACTGGAACGCAAGGAGCGGGAGCTGCAGAACACTGTGGCCAACTTACATGGTAAGGGCCCTGGGCTGCAAGGCCTGGTGCAGGAGGGTTCCCTGAGCCTGTTTGTTCCTGCGGCAGCTTCAGACCTTTGCTGAGCTCTTGATTGTCTTAGAATGGTGCTCGTCCTAGGGAGAGCAGTAACGTGGAAGTCAGGAGACCTGCAGTGCAATCCTAATGGATATAGATTATTTCTGCGCTCCTTCCCAGCTCTAAATTTTTTTGATAGAGTTGGGGCACCAGTTTCACGATTCCTTGCTTATGGACTGTTTTTCATAAAAATAATCACTTAGGCTGTTTAGCTCTGTGTTGCCCAGTGCATTTGGGGTCCATTATCTTGGAGCAAGCTTGTAGGTGTTTGTGCTCCATCATCCTTTTCCCATCTCCATACCTGTGAAGATCCTGACCTCTGCCTCTGGCACCCCTCAGGAGCCTGGTCTGGCCCGTAAACAGGGCTGGTGCGTGCTTAAACTGGGCCTCATCTCGTCATCTCTTTCCACACAGTGAGAGAGAACAACTGGCCGCCCCTACCCTTGTGGTGTCCCGTCAAGCCCTGCTTCTATCAGGATTTCTCTACAGAGATCCCTGCCGACTACCAGCGAATATGCAAGATGCTCTACTATCTATGGATGTGTGAGTCCAGCTCCTGCCCCTCTGAGCTCAAGGGCAAAATGGGGTGTGTCTCCAGAGTCCTAGCTGTGCTCTGGCTGCTCCTTCTTGCCAGACTCCAGCCTTCCGCAGTGCTGGCCAGGCTGGGAGGGACTTTCTGCTCACATAATTGGCTCTCCACAGTCTGTTCCTTGTCCTGGGAACCTCCCCTCTAAGGCTAGTCCAGACCAAGCATCAAGTGGGTGGGAGTAGCTGGAGGCTTCTGAGTTCCTGCAGAGCTCTTTGCAGAGCTCCCGTCCCCACAGACCCCTGGGCTCCTAGGAGTGAGGACAAAAGATTCCCTGTCGCTCCCCTCTGGGCCATCCAGGGCCAGGGAAAAGAGTTGCCAAGAGAGACTTCATTTCCCAAGGATCAGTCTTTGCGTCTGCACCCCTCCGCCGCCACCCCTCAGATACCTGGGCCATCCCATCACCTCTTAGGAGCTTGGTTTGGTCCCTGGTTTTGAGGTCCTACAAAAGAAGGAATGAGAGCTAACCCTGCCTAGGTACAGATGGAGGTCTTCTACTTTTGCTGCAGCTGCTGGTACAGCACAGACCTCATCTCCTCTCCAGGGGTGGTTTGCCATGTTGGGGAACCCTTCAGCCACCTTGGCACCAGCTCATGTCTCTCTACCCTCCCCTTCCTCAGTGCATTCAGTGACTCTGTTTCTAAACTTGCTTGCCTGCCTGGCCTGGTTCTTAATCGACAGCAGCAAGGGAGTGGACTTTGGCCTCTCAATCCTATGGTTTGTTATCTTCACCCCCTGTGCCTTCCTTTGTTGGTACCGACCCATCTATAAGGCCTTCAGGTGAGTGGGGCAGGGGTGAGGTGGGGAGTTTATGGAGGTATCCCCAGTAGCAGCCAAGGGCCATGAATTGGCAGAATAGAATGATGAGAAATTCATTTCCCATTCCCACCCTCAGCCAGAGCAGGTGGGGATCAAGAGCCAGTCTCCTCAGTTGTAACTGAGGTATGCTCTGGGCCCTGTCATTGGATCAGGACAGGAGACCTAGAGAGGGGAGCAGGAGTTTTACTTGCCCTCCCACTGTGCCCAGTCTGCCTGGTGTAGTAGGATTTCAGTCACTGGGAAGAGGGAGGGGTTTTCCTTAGCTCCCTTCTGAGGCTCTAGGGTATGCTTCTCTGATAGTTGGACTCTAATATACGCTCTCAATGGCTCACTTTGGCCCTCCCCGACCTCCCAAGTAACTCTTGAGCATCGCGCTGAGTACCATTATTTGACTAGTTGACTTAGAATAGATCCTGTGGATATTAATGAATCCACTTAATAGATGCCTAGGGGTTTTGGAATTGGGCCTCAGAGCTGATGCTTTCAGGGCTAGGAGCCGAGCAGGCCCCAGGAAGAAGGGACTGGGTAGTGTCTGAACCCGCACCCCACCATGCACTCAGCAGGCAGGACTTGAACCCTCACTGTATTCTGGCTCTCAAGGACATGGAGGTGGAGGTACTCTAAACACCAGTTGTGTTTAGCGTTTTCTATTCCCCAAATACCTTTTCTGCCACCCAGGCATACAGTTTTATTACTAGAGGTTTATACGTTTGACTTAGATTTTCTTCCCTGTTATGAAATACAAATAAGTACTGTAGGAGATGGATTGTTAAGCTCTTTATGTTGTCCTTTGGGTAAGCAAATTTATTATTAGCTCTTTGAGGAAAGAGTCGAGCATTGACTCCTTAAATTGGAAGGCAGTGAAAAGGCAAGCCCTTTTCGATTATAGTGGTGGTGGGGTGGGGAGGGCTCTCTCTGTGTGTGTCCTTGTAGACAGCGTGGCTGGTCCCCGGGAGCTCTCTCTACTCTCCCACCCTGCATCTTGGCTTCTAGTAAGGAGAAATGTCAGACTAAGTGAGGAATGTACTGAGGAATGAGTCCCAAGCCCTCTTGTGACTTCTGATTTCCCCCTCTTTCCACAGGTCTGACAACTCTTTCAGCTTCTTCGTGTTCTTCTTCATATTTTTTTGTCAAATAGGAATCTATGTCATCCAGTTGGTTGGCATCCCTAACCTGGGGGACAGGTAAGACCTGGGACAGTGCAGAGGGAACTATGCTTTGGCGGTGAGGTGAGGCCTCTCTCACCCTAATTCCCGGGCCCACAGAGCCCCCACAGATGACCCCTCTTCAACAATGCCAGGGAGAGCAGTGGGCCAGCTTGGATCTACCTTCGGGCCCCTCTCCAGTTCTTCGCCGGTAGCTATTCACTATCTTGCCTTGCTCGCCATTTTCTGGGGTGTTGGTCTGAATCCTCAGGCTACTTGGACTGTGTCCTGCACTGGATTTCGGCCTCTTCCTTTTCTCTTGCCACGTCCTCCTGGAGGCTGGTGCTACTTCCACAGGTCCCAGACAAGCCCTTGGGTTTAGGCAGGTGTTGGTGGATGCCCTTGTCTTTGCAGACCTGTTTTTTAGAGGCCCTATAACCTCAGGCGATGGAACCCTAGCCTCTCTTGGATGGGCTTCTCTGGCTGCTTTTTTGAGCATACAGCTGGTTTGAGTTTCCTGGGTGCTGCGGTCCTCCACTCAAAATTAGTCTCAAAAAGAAAAGCTGATGGCTGATGTTTTCCTTTCTGCCTCAGTGCATGGGGAATATTACAGAAAGGTCAGGCTGGCACTTGGCTAAAAGCCTGAGCCTGGAAGAGGTACACTGTTTTGGTCCCCTCCCTCCAGTGGAGCTGGCAAGTTCAGAACAGTGGGGACGGGGCTGACTCACCTCAAACTTGGAGCAAGTGCATGCTCCCCTCCCATCCCTCTTACTTCTTGTTCCTAATCGGACTCTTTTCTCTTTGTTTGGTGACCCAATTTCATTACTTGATACCCTAAGTGAGATCCTGGTAGAAAGGCTGTGATTAATAACTGCTGTTTGTGCCCGGGACTCAGGGAGTCAGAAGACTTGATTTCTGGTCCTGACTCCACCCCTCACTACTCTGCCTAGGCCTACCTGCATGAGCTCTGTAGCCTCCAGCCTCCCAATGCCTTTCTTATCTTGCTTCATGACAGCCATAGGTTGGTGGATATAATTGCCCCCCACCCTTTGTTTTTGACTGTAAAATATACATAACATAAAATTTGTTATTTTACTTACTACTTAAACCATTTTAAAGTATACAATTCAATGGCATTTAGTATATTCACAGTGTTGTGCAATCACTACCACTATCTACTTCCAGGACAATATCACCCCAAAAGGAAACTCCATTCCCATTAAGTAGTCACTCACCTCCTCCTCCCCTGAGCCCCTGGCAACCATTAAACTGCTTTCTGTCTCTCTGGATCTATCCATTCTGGACATTTCATATAAATGGAATCATACAACATGTGGCTTTTTGTGTCTAGCATTTTGTTCATTTACTTATCTGTTGATAGGGATTTGGGTTGTTTCTTCCTTTTTGCTGTTTTGAATAATGCTGCTACAAACATTTGTGTACATGTTTTTTAGTACCTGTTTTTAGTTCTTTCGGGTTTTTAATCCAAGGAGCGGAATTGTTGGGTCACGTGGTAATGCTATGTGTAATATATTGAGGAATTGCCAAACTTTTTCCCCTAGTGGCCATTTTACATTCCCAATATCAATATGTGAGGGTTCCAGTTTGTCCATATCCTTGCCAACACTTGTTACTTTCCGCTTTTTTTTTCTTTTTTCTATTTTAGCCAACCTACAGGTACGATATCTCATTGTGGTTTTTGAATGGCATTTTCTGATTGGTCATCGTTTATGTGTTTGTTGGCCATTGTGTATCTTATTTGGAGAAATGTCTATAGAAGTCCTTTGCTAATTCAGTATTTAGGCTTCTGTTGTTGAGTTCTTTATATATTCTGGATACAAGTTTCTTATTAGATATGTAATTTACAAGTTTTTTTCCATTCTGTGTTGTTCTTTCATTCTTGATAGTATCTTTTGATGTACAGAAGTTTTTAATTTTGATGAAGTCCAGTTTATCTTTTGTTGCTTATGCTTTGGGTATCATATTTAAGAACCATTATCAAATCCAAGGTAATAAGGTGTTTTTTCTAAGAGGTTTATATAGTTTGAGTTATTATTAGGTCATTGATCCACTTTGAGTTAATTTTCATGTGTGGTTAAAGTAAGAGTCCAACTTAATTGTTTTGCCTATGGATATTCAGTTGTCCCAGCACCGTCTGTTGAAGAGACCATTCTTTCCCCATTCAGTGGTCTTCGTACCTTTGTGATAACAAATTGACAATGGATATATGGATTTGTTTCTGGACTCTTAATTCTATCCCATCGATTTCTATATATGTCATATATGTCTGTTCTTATGCCAATACCACACTGTTTTGATAACTATTGCTTTGTAGTAAGTTTTTAACTCATGAAGTATGAGGAAGGAGACATGGCTGACTGGAGGGGCTGTACCTGGGCTCCAGTGGGAAGAGCTGAGGTGACAGGGTGAATGCAATGGTTGGCCAGTAGTTCTCCTTTCCAGAGAGTGGGCCCTCAGGAGTAAGCCGTCAAACCTTTCCTGTATCTCCAGCCCCCAAAACAGCAGTAAAATGTGGTGCCCAGTGCTGTTCCTGACTGTGAAGGCAGCAGCCACATCCTTCCAGACCTCAAGGATTCCCCATGGGCATTGTGGGGCCTGTCGGCCTTCACAGAGGCCAGGCCTCTTTCAGGCCAAAGTCTTCTGGACCACAGAGCTCTATGCCACAGGGAGATGCCTGGGTGGTGGTCAGCACACAGTGGGCACTTAAGGAAGAGCCTCTTTTGGGGGCCTCCGGGGCCCACTCCCAATGTGCCCTCTCTGGGCTCCTCCTTCCTTTGCAGTGGTTGGATTGCAGCCCTGTCTACACTGAAGCACGACTTGGCTGTGTCAATCATCATGATGGTGGCGGCTGGCTTCTTCACCCTCTGCGCTGTGCTCTCACTCTTCCTCCTGAAGCGGGTAAGTGGTGGGTGCTGTGCCAACAGCAAACCCAAGAAAGCAGGCATTTCTCTACCTTCACCATGGAGGTGTTCATCATCACTTCAGCAGCTGGGCCTCCTGGGTCCTCAAAGATCCAGCAGCTTTCTCCAAGGTTCTGGGTGAGGGGTTAGGTGAGCTTGGGTTCCTAGTGGGCCCACAGGATGGGCCTCTGTCACCACAACCTCTTTCCCCAGGTGCATTCACTGTATCGCCGGACGGGGGCCAGCTTCCAGCAGGCCCAAGAGGAGTTTTCCCAGGGCATCTTCAGCAACAGGACCTTCCGCAGTGCTGCCTCGTCTGCTGCCCGAGGAGCCTTCCAGGGGAATTAGTCCTCCTGACTTTCCTCCTGCCCCAGCCTTTTCTCTCACCTGCCTTCTGAACTGCACATCCCATGGGTGCCTTAAGCAGTGCTTATGCCCAGCACAGACCCAGGAGGGTCTTGCCATGGCTCTTCCTTCTTCCACAGCGACCAGCTCTCCCTTCTCACCCAAGGGAAGGGGAGGGAGGGACAGGGACTTTTTTTTACATAAGAGAAAAGAAAAAAAACAAAGCTGCCTTTCCTTCTCAGGTGGTGGTTTGGTAGGATTCTTTTCTCTCTGGAAGCAGTGGGACTGAAGTACACACACACACACACACACACACACACACCACCCCCATCATCCGCCACGTACACACTTGGGATCACCAGCTGACCTGGGCCCACCCCAGCTGGAGTTGTATTTCCGTCAGGGTCCTGGGCCTCCACTCCCCAAGCAGCATGGCCTGAATCTGGCTCCATAGACTCAGCCTGTGGCTTCCACAGTCCTGTCTTCCCTTCCTGCCCTGGCTGGGGTAACTTCCCAAGAGCTCCCCTTTAGATGAGCCACAGTCTGGGCTGGTGGACAGCTCTTTCCCCAGATCACTGTGGACAGGTCTCCTGGCTTCCAGACTCTCTGGCCTGGTTCTCCAGCCTCTTCCCTCCCTCATGTTTCTCTCAAACAGATGTGTATAGCCCTTTTGGTCCCCTGCACTCTCCTGGTGTGCACAGTACATTGTGCCCTCTGGGGCCCTCCCTGAGTCCTTCCCTCTTTAGACTTACCGAATGTGCAATGGGGTTTGTTGGGATATGGGGATGGGGAGGGACAGAGGATGACCCGAGTTGTCCTGCCCAGCCTTTAGCGGTCTTCTGGGGGGAGGGCGGGGATCTTACTGTCCCGATGTGGGTTGTTTGTTCCTGTTTGTTTTGATTTCCTTTCTTCCTGGGGGACAGCTGCAGTCTGCCTCTGCCAGATTCTACCCACTTTGCACTCCACATCAGCAATATCTAGCTTGTATGACTCTTCAGGAGGACAGGATACATCAGGTCAGAGCTGCACCATGCCAGCTAGACTGATGAGCCTCCTTTTCAAGGGTTCCAGACTAATCCTCCAGGGTTCCTCCATAATACCCCAAGAAGAGTCTAGGTCACCTTTCACTGGTTCTGGGGATTCCCCAGGAAGTGTGTCACTGTGATTAGCAACTAGGAGTCCACGGTTAACACCTGCACCCTGTCCTCTAGAACCTATAGGGGTGGGTGTGTGGACTGAGGGGACTTCTCAAAAAGCTAGCCAATCCAGTGGCAGCCATGAGGCTGCCAGTCCATTCTGCCCCAGAGCCACTGAATAATGGCAGTGACCAAGGTTTTTGTAAACTCCTTTCTGGTATTTTTTTCCTCCATGTACAAATGTATATGTTATGTCTCAATTTTGTGTTTAAATAAAAAGACATTTTCAGACAACTAGTCCTAATGTCTGCTGGACTTGGGAGGATGGGGGTGACCCACAGGGGTAGGGGTTGAGGCACTCCAGTGATAGGTGAGAGAGAACAGTCAAGATGCTGCATCTGGCCACCCTGCTCCCTGGCTGGATTGTGACAGGACAGGACCTGGGGACGAGCCCCTTCCTGAGATGACTATTGGCCTCGTCTATGATACTTTCTTGTCTCAGTCTCAGTACTTCCCCTTTCAGAGCTGCTGGTCTTGCGGGGAGGGGCCTCTTTGACTCTTCCCCCCTGCCACACACATCTGCTCTACCAGGCTCCTCCCTTCTTCCTCCTAGGAGCTTTCTAGGAGGCTATCCGAGTTTGGATGGCATTCGCCTGTGACCTGGGCTGGCCTCTTTCGCCCGTTCGGTCCGCAGGGGCCTCAGTATCCCCAGATGGGTCTTATAGTTGCTGGAAGATCATGTGATTTCCGGTGCGCGTGGAGGCGCAGGAGGCGCTCAGAGCAGGACCTGGAGCACCTGGAGAGGGCGGGGCGCAGAGGCGGGAGGAGCTGGGCGCTGCACTTCCGGCAGGTGGCGCCGAGGACAGCGTGGAATCGGGT